TTAAGGTTCCGTAGTTCTAGTGCGTAAAAGCTCTGGTGCCTAAAGCGCAAAGAGAAACCTTAAATCCAGAAGCCCTATGCACTTGCAGCACTTGGGCCGTGGCCAAGTCTTCGAGCTTATACATGTCCAGGATAATCTCCTGCTGCTGTATGTACTCTGCAAGAGCGTCCTGGAAGACAATCCGAGGCTTCCGGTCATGCTTTGGGCTGCCGTGTCTCAGTTCGGCTTTTGGGCGAACCCCCAACAGCCACCAACCTCAAACCCGAGAAGACTCCGACGTTCAGAACTTGTGAGCCACTGAAGGCTTGAGACCACAGAAACCTCAACCTTTTAGGTAGGCCTTCGACTTAGTTTTGCAAACCGCATGTGTTAGGGAGCTTACAAGTTGGGACTTGGACTTTGTCAGTAGCGACCTGGATGCATGGGTGGGTGCGAAACCCTGAACCCCAAAAGAGACGAGTGGCTTGCGAAACCTAAAGCCCTCAAAACAGCGCATGGGTGGGTGCGAAACCCCGAACACCAAAAAAAAGGAGCGAGTGACTGCGAAACACAAAACCCTGAAAGGAGTGCATGGGTGGGTGCGAAACCCTGAACCCCAAAAGGAGCGAGTGGCTGCGAAATCCAATTCCCAAAAGGAGTGCATGGGTGGGTGCGAAACCGTGAACCCAAAACGAGCCAGTGGCTGCGAAACCCGAAACCCTGAAACAAGCGCATAGGTAGTTGCGAATCTTGCAAAATAGGAGTGAGCGGCTGCGAAACTCCAAACCTTGAATCCCCAAAAAGAGCGAGTGGCCGCGAAACCCAAAACCCTAAAAAGAGTGCATGGGTGGGTGCGAAACCCTGAACCCCAAAAGGAGCGAGTGGCGGCGAAAGCCAAAACCCCAAAAGGAGTGCATGGACAGGTGCGAAACCCTGAACCCCAAAAGGAGCGAGTGGCGGCGAAAGCCAAAACCCCAAAAGGAGTGCATGGACAGGTGCGAAACCCTGAACCCCCAAAAGGAGCGAGTGGCTGCGAAACCCAAAACCCTGAAAGGAGTGCATGGGTGGGTGCGAAACCCTGAACCCCAAAAAAGGCGAGTAGCTGCGAAACCTAAAGCCCTAAAAACAGCGCATGGGTGGGTGCGAAACCCCGAACACCAAAAGGAGCGAGTGGCTGCGAAACACAAAGCATAAAAGGAGTGCATGGGTGGCTGCGAAACCCAACACCCTAAAAGGAGTGCATGGGTGGGTACGAAACCCTGAACCCCAAAAGGAGCGAGTGGCTGTAAAACCCAAAACCCTGAAAAGAGTGCATGGGTGGGTGCGAAACCCTGAACCGCAAAAGGAGCGAGTGGCTGTGAAACGCAAAACCCTGAAAAGAGTGCATGGGTGGGTGCGAAACCCTGAACCTCAAAAGGTGCGAGTGCCTGCGAAACACAAAACCTTAAAAGGAGTGCATGGGTGGTGGCTGCGAAACCCAAAACCCTAAAAGAAGTGCATGGGTGGGTGCGAAACGCTGAACCCCAAAAGGAGCGAGTGCATCATGGGTGGCTGCGAAACCCAAAACCCTGAAAAGAGTGCATGGATGGGTGCGAAACCCTGAACCCCAAAAGGAGCGAGTGGCTGCGAAACCCAGAACCATAAAAGGAGTGCATGGGTGGGTGCGAAACCCAACACCCTAAAAGGATTGCATGGGTGGCTGCGAAACCCTGATCCCCAAAAGGAGCGAGTGGCTGCGAAACGCAAAACCCTAAGAAGAGCGAGTGGCTGCGAAACGAAAAAGCCTGAAAGGAGTGCATGGACAGGTGCGAAACCCTGAACCCCAAAAGGAGCGAGTGGCGGCGAAAGCCAAAACCCCAAAAGGAGTGCATGGACAGGTGCGAAACCCTGAAACCAAAAAGGAGCGAGTGGCTGCGAAACCCAAAACCCTGAAAGGAGTGCATGGGTGGCTGCGAAACCCAAAACCCTAAAAAGAGTGCATGGATGGGTGCGAAACCCTGAACCCCAAAAGGAGCGAGTGGCTGCGAAACCCTGAACCCCAAAAGGAGCGAGTGGCTGCGAAACCGAAAACCCTAAAAGGAGTGCATGGGCAGGTGCGAAACCCTGAACCCCAAAAGGAACGAGTGGCTGCGAAACCCGAAACCCTAAATGGAGTGCATATGTGGAGCGAAACCCTGATACCCAAAAGGTGCGAGTGACTGCGAAATCCAAAACGCCAAAAGGAGTGCATAGGTGGGTGTGAAACCCTGAACCCCGAAAGGAGCGTAGCTGGGTGCGAAACCCTGAACCCCAAAAGGAGCGCGTGGCTGCGAAACCCAAAACCCGTGCATAGTTGGGTGCGAAACCCTGAACCCCAAAAGGAGTGACTGGCGGCGAAACCCAAAACCCTTCACAGGAGTGCATAGGTGGGTGCGCCAAAAGGAGCGAGTGGCTGCGAAACCCACAAGCCTAAAAGGAGTGCATGGGTGGGTGCGAAACCCTGAACCCCAAAAGAAGCGAGTGGCTGCGAAACCTAAAACCCTAACAGAAAGGACTGTTGTGGCGTGTATACATAAGCAGTTTTTACAGGTTCAAGAACGAGTGCATGGGTGGGCGCGAAACCCTGAACCCCAAAAAAAAGGAGCGAATGGCTGCGAAACCCAAAACCCGAAAAGGAGTGCATGGGTGGGTGTGAAACCCTGGACCCCAAAAGGAGTGCATGGGTGGGTGCGAAACCCTGAACCCCAAAAGGAGCGAGTGGCTGCGAAACCCAAAACCCGAAAAGGAGTGCATGGGTGGGTGCGAAACCCAAAACCTTAAAAAAAGTGCAGAGGTGGGTGCAAAACACTGAACCCCAAAAGGAGTGAGTGGCGTCGAAACCCAAAACCCTTCACAGGAGTGCATAGGTGGGTGCCCCAAAAGGAGCGAGTGGCTGCGAAACCCACAACCCTAAAAGGAGTGCATGGGTGGGTGCCAAACCCTGAACCGCAAAAGGAGTGAGCGGCTGCGAAACTCCAAACCCGTACGAAACCCTGAATCCCCAAAAGGAGCGAGTGGCTGCGAAATGAAACCCTGAACCTCAAAAGGAGCGAGTGGCTGCGAAACCCAAAACCCGAAAAGGAGTGCATGGGTGGGTGTGAAACCCTGGACCCCAAAAGGAGTGCATGGGTGGGTGCGAAACCCTGAACCCCAAAAGGAGCGAGTGGCTGCGAAACCCAAAACCCGAAAAGGAGTGCATGGGTGGGTGCGAAACCCAAAACCTTAAAAAAAGTGCAGAGGTGGGTGCAAAACACTGAACCCCAAAAGGAGTGAGTGGCATCGAAACCCAAAACCCTTCACAGGAGTGCATAGGTGGGTGCCCCAAAAGGAGCGAGTGGCTGCGAAACCCACAACCCTAAAAGGAGTGCATGGGTGGGTGCCAAACCCTGAACCGCAAAAGGAGTGAGCGGCTGCGAAACTCCAAACCCGTACGAAAACCTGAATCCCCAAAAGGAGCGAGTGGCTGCGAAATGAAACCCTGAACCTCAAAAGGAGCGAGTGGCTGCGAAACCCAAAACCCGAAAAGGAGTGCATGGGTGGGTGCCAAACCCTGAACCGCAAAAGGAGTGAGCGGCTGCGAAACTCCAAACCCGTACGAAAACCTGAATCCCCAAAAGGAGCGAGTGGCTGCGAAATGAAACCCTGAACCTCAAAAGGAGCGAGTGGCTGCGAAACCCAAAACCCGAAAAGGAGTGCATGGGTGGGTGCCAAACCCTGAACCGCAAAAGGAGTGAGCGGCTGCGAAACTCCAAACCCGTACGAAAACCTGAATCCCCAAAAGGAGCGAGTGGCTGCGAAATGAAACCCTGAACCTCAAAAGGAGCGAGTGGCTGCGAAACCCAAAACCCGAAAAGGAGTGCATGGGTGGGTGCCAAACCCTGAACCGCAAAAGGAGTGAGCGGCTGCGAAACTCCAAACCCGTACGAAAACCTGAATCCCCAAAAGGAGCGAGTGGCTGCGAAATGAAACCCTGAACCTCAAAAGGAGCGAGTGGCTGCGAAACCCAAAACCCGAAAAGGAGCGCTTGGGTGGGTGTGAAACCCTGGAACCCGAAAAGGCTGTGCGCGAAACCCTCAACCCCAGAACGGGTGAGTGGCTACGAAACCCTGAGACCCTAAAATACAAAAAGGAGTGGGTGGGTGCGAAATCCCATACCATAAATGGCGTAAGTGGCTACGAAGCCCTGAACCGGCCCACGTGGACCCGTGGCCGCGTGGCCTCGTGGCCGCGGGCCGTGTGGCCGCCACGGGCCGCACGTAAATAATACTATGATGGAAGATCGAGGATTGGCGTTTCGGCCTGAGGACATGCTGTCCTCTCCACACTCGGAACCTCTAAATGGAACCGCTACACCACTCTCTGATTTTGAAGGGCAGTCCTGCAGATTGCTTATGTCGTTTGGACCAGCATTGGTGAGCCATTCCTTCGGCCAGGCTTTCGAAACCCCAAACCCAGCTCCTAACATGTCAATGCTAAACTAAGGACTGTTAATGGTTCCCGAGAATGAAGATGCTATCAACTACCTATCAGGATCTGTACCAGATTTCCCACGTTTCTGCAACTGGACTGCTTGGCTGTGACTAGAAAGGCTCATCATGCCAGTTTTGAAAGGCACATCATGCCAGTTTTGCAACTACACCCAAATCTTAGTTTCTCGGCACCAAATTCTCAACCTGGTGTCCTGCACCTGGTAGCATGTCTTTGATTAAAATTGTCTCCGGATGTTGGTGTAGACTCGTGTAGACCTAAACACATAGTCATCCTCGTCGTCGTCACAGTCCGTGGTGGCAGTGGTAGTAGCGGTGGTGGTAATGATGACGGTGGCGATGGTGGTGCTCGTGATGGTGTTGCTGGTTCTCTTAGGCACGACCGAGCATTCGGCCTACAGACCGATAGCGGCCGATGCTTGGAAAAGCCTACATGGAGTGCAGGCCTTAGTGGTTGGAGGTCTCAGCGCATTTGCGGGTATAGAGTTGGGGAGGCATGGGTTGCCGCTTCGGGTATCAGAGCTGCGAAATCAGGCTTCGGGGGCGTCGGGGTTTTGGGCATGCGTGTTGACTGGATTGGAGTCCATCACCCGACGAAGGTCTGCACAGGGCTTCCCAATCACGAGAACCTATCAACATGAAAGCACGAAGTGTGCTCTTCGAGACCACGAGGCACCCAAGGAGCAGCCTGCCCGGGCCCCCAAGACGGAATTGGGCCTTCAGGCGGTCCCAGTAGACTTGAACCTCCTGCCACCTCGAGACCATTTCGAGAAGGTTTGGCTTCGAGTGCTTGTGGCTTCAGAGCTGTGAGACTCAATGCATCAACCCGGTCCTTCTGATTTGGAGCAAGGAAAGGCTTTCCATGCTTCTTCAAGGCGGCCGGGCTTTCAGGTAAGTTTCTCGATGCGAAACTCCACAGACACTCAAGGGCTTTTGGGCTTTGGGTGTATATGATTCAGAGTTTAAAGGACATAGTGTTAATGAGGGTCTATGGAGGGGTTAGGCTAGTTCGGCATGGGATACACATGCCGTTCGGCCTAAGCTCCATGGGCGGAACATTGCAATAAACCTTCCAAGTGCGTCCCAAGAGCTGCTGCGAGAGGTCAGGCCTGCAAGCACGAATTCGAGTTGAAGGCGCTTCGAACAGTACCATGTTCGGCATCTTCATCTTAGCCGCGTCTGCGGAATGGCGGGTCATTGGGCAGTTGCAACATTTCTTAGCCCAGTGATGAAATATATCTTTGCCGTCTTTACCGGCTACAACTGTCCAGCTGCAAGCAGCCAACAGCCAGCACTTTATACAAAATGTGCTACCGTTCATCCCGCATGACCCTTCTTACCACCAGCATCACATTGCAATCACATCGACCGCGACATCGCTGCCATCCTCTCATCTACTCGTTTTTGGCCTGCATTTCTCTTCGTCTGAAGATGTGAACGATTACATCTTTCCACGAGTGCCATTGGCACTACCTTATTTTGACGACGGTAGCGGCTCCGACTGCGACATACCACCATCATGCCCATATTGCCCATATTGCTACTCTATTTCGGCCTCCCCCGACCTACTCTTGGTGCCTCTGCGGAGAGATGGCAGGAAGTCCATTGCCACCATTTTTCAGGTTGTCCTGCATGCATTGCAAGAGGACTGCAAAAATCACACGACTGGCCCTTTGACAGGTACGCGGAAAGCAGGGGCGTGTTGGAATCCTGAACTACCTGTCCGACCTGTCACAGTGTTGATATCAGCATCGGTGCAGGGGCAGGGAATGGCAATCCTAAACTTCTGCGCAGCCATCACACGAAGCCAAAGCCGAACAGAGCTGGTTGCCTGCAGCGCTTGCCACTGCCCCATCGTGTCAAAGACGGCGGCATTGGAACCAGTGATGCCATACACGAACTGGATCGACTCCCTCGCGCCCTGGTTTCGAGTTTGAGAGTTGATGACAAAACGGTCGAAGTGTTGTTGTTTCTGGTGGAATTTTGTGTCGAAGCTTCAGGGGTTGGGGGCTTCGGGGCGAGGTGTTCGGAGTATTCGGGGTACGGTGTAGTGTTTGCCGGGCGAAGCTCGAAATTGAGTAACGAGCGGCAGAATCTTTCACGAGGCTCAAGTTCGCGCACTTGTGTTTGCAGCCATCGTTCCCTTGTTTCATCACCGGAAAATACGGGTGAAAAAAGGATCGGGTCCTGCAAAGCCCTGCACTGTACACTCCAGCAATCTGTACCAACCGTCGCTGAACAGTTCGTCGTGCAGTCCCTTTGTTATAGACTGTTCACATCTTCGGATTCTCTGATGTTTTGTACCATCTGGAGGCAAACGCTTATGGACTTGGGTAGCCTTTAGGACCTTCCAGGCACTTGGGAGATGAGGGTTCTTGGTCTGGGGTCGGGAGTTTGGGCTCTCGAGTGCTGTGTTGGAACGGCTTGGTGTTGCAGATTCAAGCTTCGAGGGAACAACCTCACCCAGGCTCTACTACGGTCAGCAGAGCAGACTCATGCTTTGGGTAGAAGCCTCTGTTGCCCGACCGGTCACACCTACTCTTACGCTCTCTTCAGCGTCGCCAGAACAAGGGAATCGGAACACCTCCATTGATATGAGTAGCCAGGACTGCTCAAAGAGACAGAAGAAGGAGAGTGCTGAAAGCCCTCGCATTGGGCAGAAGTCGCCAGAAAGCCGGGGGCAAATCCAGAGAACCCAGTACTTCAAGTCTTCGATATGTTTTGAAGACTTACCCCTTTCTGCGGACGCGGCCTTCTGGGCCAACAAGATCTGCCGGCTGGCAGCGTCCACTCTCGCCGCCGGCAGCGATGGAAAAGCCGTTGTGGCCTCTTGACGTGCTGAGAGAAGCTACTGCGGAGCGGACTTGTCAAACAGCTTTGGGGTTTGGTTCCGTGAGGTCCCGAGAGCATGTCTACACCCAAGGCCGCAGGCCTCTGAACACGATCTTGGAAGGGGCTGGGCGTTGGCGGAATCAGAAACACAAGGGCACAAGGGCCACCGATGCAACCAACGAGCAGCTAACAGCTTCCGATACCCTTTCATGCTTTCTCGATACAAAGATGTCCCACGAGCTTCTCCTCGAAAGAAAACCTGCCTAGCTCTTACTTGCAGCTCAAACGGCAGAGTCCACAAGCAAGGCATCAGAAGACAGACACACAAAACTGCATCAACCTTTTTCGCGATGCCTGATGGTTCCACGAGTTAAACACTCGTAGCATGTTCAAGGTTTAGGATTTCGGGGATTGCACTTCCTGACCCGCTGGGCTCAAGGAGAACTCTTTGTCAAAACGGCCTCCTTCAGGCTCCAAGTCCAAGCGCTAAGGCCGCACCCGAAGTGCGGGGCACTACGCCAACCCCAACCCCACAATGATGCGAAGATGGTGGTGTTCTTGCAGGATAAGGCAGTGCTGATGGTCACCTTGCACGGCCCAGCGAACTACTGATTCTGAAGTGGTGAATCCTACACCGTACTCCCAGAAACACTGCCAGTTCACACCCATCCTCGAAGGTCCATGATGCTGTCCTCCCACCCAGCCCGAAACTTGTTTCCGTGTGCCTCCTCAATGTAGAGGCTCTGAAGCTGGTTCAGCGCCTGTAAGACACCATGGAGGGTTGCTTGCGGGTCTGCCCTTCGCTTCCAGAAACGTCGTCCCCACGAATCGTGAAGACTTGGGTTGGGTTTGGTTTTCGCATCGAGGTCGTCACCTAGCAGGGGCATGACTTTTGCAACAGTAACTTCAGCATCTAGAGACAAAGTTATAGTCATTCGGCAAGTCGTGCGCCGACCCGAACAGCCCCCCTTGCTTGCTCCACACCAACGGCACCAACGTCAGGATGCAGCACCTCGATCATGTTCAGACTTGCTGCGGCGACGGCGTTGCCGTTGCTCCCCTGGCGCATGGGGTCCAGGGTCTCACACAGTGAGGCTGGGCCGCAAGCCCCAAGCCCTGAAATGCCTGCATACCACAGCAAAACATTTGAGCGTTTCGTCGGTGAAAGCACCAAAGACTTCGGCACTGATCGGTAATGATTGTGTTTAAAACCGTGTCGACCGACAAATGCCCCAGCCCTGCATTCTGCGTTTCTTCTCCATTCTCACTGCCACCAACCCTTAAACACCGAACGATCTTCTCATGAATGGAAACCCCAACAGAATCTTGGCCTCGAGCTCCACAGCTCATATGCTCAAGTCAAGACAGCGCTAGACCCTTCTCCAACAGCCTGCCATGCCCTGAACTGCCAAAAGGCTTACAGTCAAAACCCCCTCCTTCTAGTAGAACCCTGGCTGACCCAAATCAGTTTATAGGAACCAGCCCTAAACCAGTCAATCGAGAACCGAGAGAGGCCCGAAACCCCTGACCAATCCTCCAGGGACTCGGCGAACGCACTTACAGGCGGCTCTACCCTGGCAAGAACCTCAGGCAGGCGTAGTGCTTCATGTGCTAGCACCTACAAGGTTCGCCTCAAGTCTTGATGGATGGAGATTGTTGCTCTCAGGTGTAAAGGTCAACCTGTGCTTCGATTCCGGGTTTGGTCGCTAAAGGCACTGGCGGCGGGCAGCTTCCGCACAAATCACCAGGGGTTTAGGCCGGAGCTCTTCCTTGGTGTTGGCTTTACATGATCATCGGAACTCGCGAGCCTCTTGCCAATTGACCTTGCTCCGGTTCTGATCAGTATTGCCTTACCAGCCTTGATCTTGCTGCCATTATACTCACCAGATCGACGGGCCTAGGGTCATGGCTGCTTGCGACGACGACGACGAGCCAAGACGAGGACCAGGACGAGGACGAGGACCAACGAGTGTTCAGCAAGGGTGCTGCTTGTGCTGCTCTTCAGAGACCTTCTGTTGACATGTGACTGTCGCTTACAGCTGTAGAAGTCTTGCTTCTACCATTCCTACTGCTCACTCTCGTAATCATGTTGCTGCTGGTTCAGAAAGCAAGTGTCCACTCATGTCATCATTCCGGTTGAGTGCACTGTATCATGTATGATATCACACATTCGTTTGCTCACTTGCTTGGCTCACTTGTCACTCTGCTGGTTACTCGAACGACTGATCGAGCGTTGTACTGGTTAGTTTCCCCATTCACTTGACTGCTGAGTTGTTCATTGCCTGGTGCATGAGCTCGGAATTCGTGAGCTAAATGCTGACGCATGTGGATCGTTCTTCTTTGTCCGGTCTCAAGTGCGCGAGCTACAGATATGCCGTGTTGCCATACGAAGTATGCGCTCATGGAACAACATGATACCGTGGAGATGTGTGTGTGTGTGTGTGTGTGTCTGCGCGCATATGTCTAGTTATATTCATGAACGACTACTCTAACCCAGAAGACTTGAAAGACAAACCCGTGCAGCAATGACAAGCACACAAAGACTCCGGCCTGTTGGAAAAGTCTGGTAAAGATAGGGTAATTTCAAGATGCTGCTGTGCATGTGTGGGATTCATCTAATGGCATAAACCCACTCTTGATTCAACAACCCGAACACCTGACGACGATTCCTCAACCTTGTCACTGCACACTCCTCAATCAACCCCTACGTCGGGCCTCATCTAAAATCCTTTGTGAAGTTGGCGGCGTCAGCGTCTCCGATCCGTAGGCCAAGCTGCGCATTTGCTCTTCCACCTTACGGTTGAGGGTCTTGGGATGTCGGCGCACATAGGAATAGGATTTGGGCTGAAGGGATGAGGTCCTTATTCTTTAGGTGAAGCCGGCAGCCTCGAACAGGGATGGCGTCATGCATGGTTGATTGCACAGGTCGACAATTGAATCTAGGCAACAGGCCTGTGAACCTTGCAGTCTGTTATTGATTAGGTTAAGTTTGTGCGGTTGTCTGTCTGTGTGTGCTTCTCTTGCACATTGTTCTTTCTCGACAGTTCCCTATGCTTCCAACCCCCCTAAAACATCAGGGCACTGCCATTACTACCTAACTTTTTGAGGGTGTTCGGAAATCGCGTTTGAGCCACCCCTTTTTGGCCTCAACTAAACTCCATTCGATGGAACGGACACGATTCCCGCTAGACCTCATTTCGACCCGACGATGTTGACGGGCCTCTGGACTCAAACAACCTGAAACTGACACGTCCACATTCCAGGCTTTGACCTTGTCTGTATCGTGCTTGGTGGCTCTCTCTCACGATTTTGTGGTGCTCCTCACGCCTTCTCACGCTTCTCTCACGGTTCAATTTGGGGTCGCTGAAGAGTCTATCTGGACTATGGCCGGCCCACCCCAAACCTTCTCACGGTTTCTCACGCTTTGCTCACGCTTTTGCGATCTCTTTCTCAAGGTTTTGCGGGTTCCACGGTGCTTGTACATCGGGGTCGTTTCCATTGATTGGGCGTGGGGAAAATTTGGGCGTTCAGATTTCTTAGGTGTGGTCAAAGAGCGGGGAAATTAGAACGTTTCCTTAAAATTACACTTGGTTTATACTCAAGATGGCGGGGGGCAATATCGGGTCGTCGCAACCACCCGAAAAGCTGCCGTCGAGGAAGCACAGGGTTTTTCAATCTCCATTCACGCATGCATGGTTCGGCGTCGTCTGGTCCTGTTTATCGCCTGTCGCAGTTACAGTGTTGTGTGTGTGGGTGTGGGTGCAGGTGCGGGTGCGGGTGTGGGTGTGGGTGTGGGTGTGGGTGTGTGGGTGGGTGTGTGGGTGGGTGTGTGGGTGGGTGTGTGAGTGGGTATACGGGTGGGTGTACGGGTGGGTGTGCGGGTGGGTGTGCGGGTGGGTGTGCGGGTGGGTGTGCGGGTGGGTGTGCGGCTGGGTGTGCGGCTGGGTGTGCGGCTGGGTGTGCAGCCGGGTGTGCGGCTGGGTGTGCGGCTTGGTGTGTGGGTGGGTGTGCGGGTGGTGTGCGGGTCGTGTGCGGGTGGGCGTGCGCGGGTGGGCATGTGCGGGTGGGCGTGCGCGGGTGGGCGTGTCCGTGTGTGGGCGGTGCGGGTGCGTGTGTGGGCGTGTGCGGGTGGGCGTGTGCGGGTGTGTGCGTGTGCGGTGTGTGTGCGTGTGTGTGTGTGTGTGTGTGTGTGTGTGTGTGTGTGTGTGTGTGTGTGTGTGTGTGTGTGTGTGTGTGTGTGTGTGTGTGTGTGTGTGTGTGTGTGTGTGTGTGTGTGTGTGTGTGTGTGTGTGTGTGTGGTTGTGTGTGTGTGTGTGTGTGGTGTGTGTGTGTGTGTGTGGTGTGTGTGTGTGGTTGTGTGTGTGTGTGTGTGTGTGTGTGTGTGTGTGTGTGTTGTGTTGTGTGTGTGTGTGTTGTGTGTTGTGTGTGTGTGTTGTGTGTTGTGTGTGTTGTGTGTTGTGTGTGGTGTGTGTTGTGTGTCGTGTTGGTGTGTGGTGTGTGGTGTGTGGTGTGTGGTGTGTGGTGTGTGTGTGTGGTGTGTGGTGTGTGGTGTGTGTGTGTGTGTGTGTGTGTGTGTGTGTGTGTGTGTGTGTGTGTGTGTGTGTGTGTGTGTGTGTGTGTGTGTGTGTCTGTGTGTGTGTGTGTGTGTGTCTGTGTGTGTGTGTGTCTTTGTGTGTGTGTGTGTCTCTGTGTGTGTGTGTGTGTGTTTGTGTCTGTGTCTGTGTGTGTGTGTGTGGGTCTGTGTGTGTGTGTCTCGGTGTGTGTGTGTGTGTGTGTCTGTGTGTGTGTGTGTCTCGTGTGTGGTGGGTGTGTCTGTTGTGTGCTGTGGGGTGTGTGTGTTCTCTGTGTGTGTTACTGTCCCTGCTTTTCTCTCGTCGTTCGGTTGTGTGACTCTGTGTTATGTGTGTTGTAGTGGTCTTGGCGTTGTGCTGTGAGTGGTGTGTGTGGGTGTCTCTGTGTGTGTGTGTCGTTGGAGGTGTGTGTGTGTGTCTCTGTGTGTGTGTGTGTCTCTGTGTGTGTGTCTCTGTGTGTGTGTGTGTCTCTGTGTGTGTGTGTGTGTCTGTGTGTGTGTGTGTCTCTGTGTGTGTGTGTCTCTGTGTGTGTGTGACAACCCTGTGTCCAAGGGCCTTCCCATCATGCTCCTGTTACCGAACTCCTTTCTGCATTTGATATTTTGAATACAGCAGGGGGCGGGAGCATGGACTGCTGGACTCCCGCTAACAAAGACGCCAGCTTTCCATGGTGATGTGTTCCGGGACGCCGGAACATGTACCTGCAGTTTGTGACATCGTATAACATCCTTGCTGTACACTGGTTCTCCTGGATGTAACAATTTCCTTCTGTTGCACTTCATTGGACATGGCGTGCGCCTTCGGAGTCTTTGCAGGTAGTCAGGCCGTGTTGTGGTTTAGGCAGGTGGCAGGTTCAGGCAGGGTTACTTCTTGCCGTACTCCTTCGACATTCTTGACCATGTGCTGACATGTCAAAAGTCTCTGATGTGTGGTCACTTGAGACCTGGGCATCAGTTGGTTCGTCGCATAAAGAAACCTCACTTGACATTCCGTGTGTAGTCCTCCGGGACGGTGGTGTATGCCTCGGTGCTGCACTCAGATCCTCCAAGTTCGGAGGCGCCAAATTCAGTGCCAGCGCGCAGGTTAGTTCAATGAACAGATCTTTAGAGCCTAACGGCACTACCGCCTCTCATGGCACCCGCAAAATCGGCTCCATGCCAAACAATCCGCGATTGCAGCCGAAGCAGCTTCAAGCAGCCATATCCAAGGATTCAGGCGGGAAGAGATTGTTGTGACCGTAACTTTCTTGCGGTCTTTCTTTTCGGTTAGTTTGTTAGGGTAGGCTGCCTTTTTCATGCGTTCCTGTCGTAAACTTCGATTGAGTAGGTTGGTCGTTTATAGTACTAACTGGCCTGTTGTTGGGCAGTGGAGCTCCGTGGATTATCGGCAAGGGACTACCCGGCAACCGCAGAGTTCAGCTTTTCAGGCATCCACCTGCTTAGCTGCCCGCTGAGTTCGACACTCGGTGGCACCTTCGACCAGTACTTGGACGGCATCCATCTATCCAGCAGCCTGCTGAGCTCGCATTAGGTCGCACTGTCGACCAGCGCTTGGACGGCATCCATTCACCTAGCAGCTTGCTCAGCATGGCCTTTGGCGGCACCTTCGACCAGCGCTTTGAGGGCCGCCTGCACCCAGCAGCCTGCTGAGCGCGGCCTTCGGCGGTACCTTCGACTAGCACGTTTAGGCATTCACTCATACAGCAGCCTGTTTGAAGGCATCCACCTACCCAGCAGCCTCCTGAGCGTGACATTTGCTGCACCTTCGACCAGCACTTTGATGGCAACCACCTTCTCAGCAGCCTGCTGAGCCGGTATCTTCGACCAGCTCTTGGACGGCATCTACCTGCCCAGCAGCCTGCTGAGTTTGGCATTCGGCGCTTGGACGGCATCCCCCTATACTCAGCAGTCTGCTGAACCAGGCATTTGGCGGCACTGTCGACCAGCGCATTGACTGCATCCACCTACCCAGCAGCCTGCTGGGCTTGGCATTCGGCGGCACCTTTGACAAGCGCATGGACCGCATCTTCCTACTCATCAGCCTGCTGAGCATCCTTGTCAAGCACCAGTACCACATCGACATCGTCTACATCAGCACTCTGGTCACGTACAGCCTCAAAATTTTGGCGGAGCTCGACTACATCTGCCACAGCTTCCTTTTATCGCAGCCGTTTACCTCAGCCTTTTCCGCAGCCATTTCGCAGCTGTTCGTGGCATTGCAGCTAACTAGCACCTTGCAGAGTGCGACCTTTGGCTTTTGACTTTGAGTTCAACCAGAGCTGGAGGGCATCCAACTACCCACAGCCTACGGAACTTTACTCTCGTCGACGAGTCCAGCTGGAGCTCGGGTTTTGACCTTTGGCAACGAGTCCAACTCGAACTTGGCGGGCATCCGACTACCCGGCATCCTAAAGATTTTGGGTTGGCTTCCGGTTCAACCAGAGCTTGGGTGGCCAACTACTCGGCGGACTGCACGGTTTGGCTTTTGGCGACGGTTCAACCAGAACTTTGAGGGCATCCCGCTACCCGGCAGCCTGCAGACCTTGACTTTTGGCGACGAGTTCTACCTGGAGATTTTGACGTTAGGCTACCAGTTCAACCATAGCTTTGAGGGCATCCAGCAGGTCCTCACGATGAGTTCAACCTGAGCTTAGATGGCATCCAACTCAGCAGCCTGCACGGTTTTGACGCCTTGCGATGAGGTTGACCGCTTTGAAGGCATCCAGCTACCCGGAAGCCTGCAGAACTTGACTTTTGGCGACGAGCTCAACCCTTCAGGTTTTGACGTTTGGCGACCAGTTCAACCAGAGCTTTGAGGGCATCCAGCAGGTCTTTGGCGATGAGTTCAACCAGAGCTTGCTTTGCGATGAGTTCGACCACAGCTTTGAGCGCATCCAGCTCCCGACAGCCTGCGGAACTTGACGTTTGTCGACGAGTTCAGCCTGCAGAATTTGACTTTTGGCGACCAGTTCAACCAGAGCTTTGTTGGCATCCAGCAAGTCTTTGGCGATGAGTTCAGCCAGAGCTTGGCGATGAGTTCGACCGCAGCTTAAGATTTGAGGGCATCCATCTACCCGGCAGCCTGCAGAACTTGACGTTTGGCGACGAGTTCAACCTGCAGATTTTCACGTTTGGCGACCAGATCAACCAGAGGTTTAAGGGCATCCAACAGGTTTGGGCGATGAGTTCAACCAGAGCTTGGATGACATCCAACTACTCAGCAGCCTGCACAGTTTGGCGCTTGGCGATGAGTTCGACCACTTTGAAGGCATCCAGCTACCTGGCAGCCTACAGAACTTGACGTTTGGCGACGAGCTCCACCTGCAGATTTTAACGTTTGGCGACCAGTTCGACCAGAGCTTCTAGGGCATCCAGCAGGTTTCTGACGATGAGTTCAGCGTTTGGCGACGAGTTCAACCTGCAGATTATGACGTTTGGCGACCAGTTCAACCAGAGCTTTAAGGGCTTCCAGCAGGTCTTGGGCGATGAGTTCAGCCAGAGCTTGGATGGCATGGAACTACGCAGCAGCCTGCACAGTTTGGCGCTCGGCGACGAGTTCAACCACGGCTTTGAGTGCATCCAGCCACCCGGCAGCTTACAGAACTTGACGTTTGGCGACGAGCTCCACCTGCAGATTTTAACGTTTGGCGACCAGTTCGACCAGAGCTTCTAGGGCATCCAGCAGGTTTCTGACGATGAGTTCAGCGTTTGGCGACGAGTTCAACCTGCAGATATATGACGTTTGGCGACCAGTTCAACCAGAGCTTTAAGGGCTTCCAGCAGGTCTTGGGCGATGAGTTCAGCCAGAGCTTGGATGGCATGGAACTACGCAGCAGCCTGCACAGTTTGGCGCTCGGCGACGAGTTCAACCACGGCTTTGAGTGCATCCAGCTACCCGACAGCCTGCAGAGCTTGACGTTTGGCGACGAGTTCAACCCTTCAGGTTTTGACGTTTGGCGACCAGTTCAACCAGAGCTTTGAGGGCATCCGCGATGAGTTCAACCAGAGCTTGCTTTGCGATGAGTTCGACCACAGCTTTGAGCGCATCCAGCTCCCGACAGCCTGCGGAACTTGACGTTTGTCGACGAGTTCAACCTGCAGAATTTGACTTTGGCGACCAGTTCAACCAGAGCTTTGAGGGCATCCAGCAAGTCTTTGGCGATGAGTCCAGCCAGAGCTTGGACGGCATCCAACTACTCAGCAGTCTGCACAGTTTCGTGCTTGGCGATGAGTTCGACCGCAGCTTTGAGGGCATCCAGCTACCCGGCAGCCTGCAGAACCTGACGTTTGGCGACGAGTTCAACCTGCAGATTTTCACGTTTGGCGACCAGATCAACCAGAGGTTTAAGGGCATCCAACAGGTTTGGGCGATGAGTTCAACCAGAGCTTGGATGACATCCAACTACTCAGCAGCCTGCACAGTTTGGCGCTTGGCGATGAGTTCGACCGCTTTGAGGGCATCCAGCTACCTGGCAGCCTACAGAACTTGACGTTTGGCGACGAGCTCCACCTGCAGATTTTAACGTTTGGCGACCAGTTCGACCAGAGCTTCTAGGGCATCCAGCAGGTTTCTGACGATGAGTTCAGCGTTTGGCGACGAGTTCAACCTGCAGATTATGACGTTTGGCGACCAGTTCAACCAGAGCTTTAAGGGCTTCCAGCAGGTCTTGGGCGATGAGTTCAGCCAGAGCTTGGATGGCATGGAACTACGCAGCAGCCTGCACAGTTTGGCGCTCGGCGACGAGTTCAACCACGGCTTTGAGTGCATCCAGCCACCCGGCAGCCTACAGAACTTGACGTTTGGCGACGAGTTCAACCTGCAGATTTTAACGTTTGGCGACCAGTTCAACCAGAGCTTTGAGGGCATCCAGCAGGTCTTTGGCGATGAGTTCAACCAGAGCTTGCTTTGCGATGAGTTCGACCACAGCTTTGAGCGCATCCAGCTCCCGACAGCCTGCGGAACTTGACGTTTGTCGACGAGTTCAACCTGCAGAATTTGACTTTTGGCGACCAGTTCAACCAGAGCTTTGAGGGCATCCAGCAAGTCTTTGGCGATGAGTTCAGCCAGAGCTTGGACGGCATCCAACTACTCAGCAGTCTGCACAGTTTCGTGCTTGGCGATGAGTTCGACCGCAGCTTTGAGGGCATCCAGCTACCCGGCAGCCTGCAGACCTTGACGTTTGGCGACGAGTTCAACCTGCAGATTTTCACGTTTGGCGACCAGATCAACCAGAGGTTTAAGGGCATCCAACAGGTTTGGGCGATGAGTTCAACCAGAGCTTGGATGACATCCAACTACTCAGCAGCCTGCACAGTTTGGCGATTGGCGATGAGTTCGACCGCTTTGAGGGCATCCAAGCAGCCTACAGAACTTGACGTTTAGCGACGAGCTCCACCTGCAGATTTTAACGTTTGGCGACCAGTTCGACAAGGGCTTCTAGGGCATCCAGCAGGTTTCTGACGATGAGTTCAGCGTTTGGCGACGAGTTCAACCTGCAGATTATGACGTTTGGCGACCAGTTCAACCAGAGCGTTAAGGGCTTCCAGCAGGTCTTGGGCGATGAGTTCAGCCAGAGCTTGGATGGCATGGAACTACGCAGCAGCCTGCACAAATTGGCGCTCGGCGCCGAGTTCAACCACGGCTTTGAGTGCATCCAGCCACCCGGCAGCCTACAGAACTTGGCGTTTGGCGACGAGCTCCACCTGCAGATTTTAACGTTTAGCGACCAGTTCGACCAGAGCTTCTAGGGCATCCAGCAGGTTTCTGGCGATGAGTTCAGCGTTTGGCGACGAGTTCAACCTGCAGATTATGATGTTTGGCGACCAGTTCAACCAGAGCTTTAAGGGCTTCCAGCAGGTCTTGGGCGATGAGTTCAGCCACAGCTTGGATGGCATGGAACTACGCAGCAGCCTGCACAGTTTGGCGCTCGGCGACGCGTTCAACCACGGCTTTGAGTGCATCCAGCTACCCGACAGCCTGCAGAACTTGACGTTTGGCGACGAGTTCAACCCTTCAGGTTTTGACGTTTGGCGACCAGTTCAACCAGAGCTTTGAGGGCATCCAGCAGGTCTTTGGCGATGAGTTCAACCAGAGCTTGCTTTGCGATGAGTTCGACCACAGCTTTGAGCGCATCCAGCTCCCGACAGCCTGAACTTGACGTTTGTCGACGAGTTCAACCTGCAGAATTTGACTTTTGGCGACCAGTTCAACCAGAGCTTGCAGGGCATCCAGCAAGTCTTTGGCGATGAGTTCAGCCAGAGCTTGGACGGTATCCAACTACTCAGCAGTCTGCGCAGTTTCGTGCTTGGCGATGAGTTCGACCGCAGCTTTGAGGGCATACAGCTACCCGGCAGCCTGCAGAACTTGACGTTTGGCGACGAGTTCAACCTGCAGATTTTCACGTTTGGCGACCAGATCAACCAGAGGATTAAAGGGCATCCAACAGGTTTGGGCGATGGGTCCAACCAGAGCTTGGATGACATCCAACTACTCAGCAGCCTGCACAGTTTGGCGCTTGGCGATGAGTTCGACCGCTTTGAGGGCATCCAACTACCTGGCAGCCTACAGAACTTGACGTTTGGCGACGAGCTCCACCTGCAGATTTTAACGTTTGGCGACCAGTTCGACCAGAGCTTCTAGGGCATCCAGCAGTTTTCTGGCGATGAGTTCAGCGTTTGGCGACGAGTTCAGCCTGCAGATTATGACGTTTGGCGACCAGCTCAACCAGAGCTTTAAGGGCTTCCAGCAGGTCTTCTGCGATGAGTTCAGCCAGAGCTTGGATGGCATGGAACTACGCAGCAGCCTGCACAGTTTGACGCTCGGCGACGAGTTCAACCACGGCTTTGAGTGCATCCAGCCACCCGGCAGCCTGCAGAACTTGACGTTTGGCGACGAGTTCAACCTGCAGATTTGGGCGTTTCGCGACCACGTTTGGCGACCAGTACAACCAGAGCTTTGAGGGCATCCAGCAGGTCTTGGGCGATGAGTTCAACATGAGCTTGGATGGCATCCAACTACTCAGCAGCGTGCACAGTTTGGCGCTTTGTGATGAGTTCGACCGCAGCTTTGAGGGCATCCAGCTACCCGGCAGCCTGCGGAACTTGATGTTTGGCGACGAGTTCAACTTTCGACATTTGGCGACCAGTTCAACCAGAGCTTAAGTGAGGGCATCCAGGAGGTCTTTGACGATGAGTTTAGCCAGAGCTTGGATGACACCCAACTATTCTGCATAGTTTCGCGCTTGGCGGTGAGTTTGACTGCAGCTTTGAGGGCATCCAGATACCCGGCAGCCTGCAGAACTTGACGTTGGGTGACGAGCTCAACCTGCAGATTTTGACGTTTGGCGACCAGTTCAACCAGAGCTTGGAGGGCATCCAGCAGGTCTTTGGCGACGAGTTCAACCAGAGCTTGAATGGCATCCAACTACTCAGCAGCCCGCGCAGTTTGGCGCTTGGCGATGAGTTCGGCCGCAGCTTTGAGGGCATCCAGCTACCCGGCAGCCTGCAGAACTTGACGTTTGGCGACGAGTTCAACCTGCAGATTTTGACTTTTAGCAACCAGTTCAACCAGAGTTCAACCAGAGCTTTGAGGGCATCCAGCAGGTCTTTGGGGATGAGATCAGCCAGAGCTTGGATGGCATCCAACTACTAATACTCAGCAGTCTGCACATTTTGACGCTTGACGATGAGTTCGATCGCAGCTTTGAGGACGTTCAGCTACCCGAACCTGACGTTTGGCCACGAGCTCAACCTGCAGATTTTGACGTTTGGCGACCAGTCCAACCAGAGCTTTGAAGGCATCCGGCGGGTCTTTGGCGAGGAGTTCAGCCAGAGCTTGGACGGCATCCAACTACTCAGCAGCCTGCACGGTTTGACGCTCGGCGACGAGTTCAACCACAGCTTTGAGTGCATCCAGCTACCCGACCGCCTACAGAACTTGACGTTTGGCGACGAGTTCAACCCGCAGATTTGGACGTTTCGCGACCACGTTTGGCGACCAGTTCAACCAGAGCTTTGAGGACATCCAGGAGGGCATCCAGCAGGTCTTGGGCGTTGAGTTCAGCCAGAGCTTGGATGGCATCCAACACCTCAGCAGCCTGCACAATTTGGCGCTTTGTGATGAGTTCGACCGCAGCTTTGAGGGCATCCAGCTACCCGACAGCCTGCAGAACTTGACCTTCGGCGACGAGTTCAACCTGCAGATTCTGACGTTTGGCGACCAGTTCGACCAGAGCTGGGAGGGCATCTAACAGGTTTTGACGATGAGTTCAGCCAGAGCTTGGATGGTATCCAACCACTCAGCAGCCTGCACAGTTTAGCGCTTTGCGATGAGTTCGATCGCACCTTTGAGGGCATCCAGCTACCTGGCAACCTGCGACATTCGGCGGCGAGTTCAACCTGCAGATTTTGACGTTTTGGCGACCAGTTCAACCAGAGCTTTGAGGACTCCCAGCAGGTCTTTGGCGATGAGTTCAGCCAAGCTGGGATGGCATCCAACTACTCAGCAGTCTGCACAGTTTGGCGCTTGGCAACGAGTTCGACCGCAGCTCTGAGTGCATCCAGCTACCCGACAGCCTGCAGAAGGAGTTAGGCTAAGGTTTAGGACTAGGGTTCCTGCTTTTCTTCTGGTTTTCGGGTTTTGGGTTCCTGGTTTAGGGTTCAGAGTTTGTAACGGGTTTCGGGCAACTTGACGTTTGGCGACGAGCTCAACCTGCAGATTTTGACGTTTGGAGACTAGTTCAACCAGCGTCTTGAGGGCATCCAGCAGGTCTTTTGCGATGAGTCCAACCAGAGCTTGGATCGCATCCAACTACTCCGCAGCCTGCACAGTTTGGCGCGCTACGATGAGTTCGACCGCAGCTTTGCGGGCATCCAGCCACCCGGCAGCTCAACCTGCAGTTTTGACGTTGGCGACCAGTTTTACCAGAGCCTTGGCGACCAGTTCAACCAGAGCTTTGAGGGCATCCAGCAGGTTTTAGCGATGCGTTCCAACCAGAGTTTGGATTGCATCCAACTACTCAGCAGCCTGCGCAGTTTGGCGCTTTGCGATGAGTTCGACCGCAGCTTTGAGGGCATCCAGCCACCCGGCAGCCTGCGGAACTTAACGTTTGGCGACGAGTTCAACCGGCAGATTTCGACGTTTGGCGACTAGTTCAACGAGACCTTTGAGGACATCCAGCAGGTCTTTGACGATCAGTTCAGCCAGAGCTTGGATAGCATCCAACTACTCAGCAGTCTGCGCAGTTTCGTGCTGGCGATGAGTTGGACCGCAGCTTTGAGGGCATCCAGCTACCCGGCAGCCTGCAGAACTTGACGTTTGGTGACGAGCTCAACCTGCAGATTTTGACGTTTGGCGACCAGTTCAGCCAGAGCTTTAAGGACATCCAGCAGGTCTTTAACGATGAGTTCAACCAGAGCTTGGATGGCATCCAACTACTCAGCAGCCTGCACGGTGGTGGCTCTTGTGCTACATGAACACCGTTTTCACTTTCTGCATCCCTACTGAGCCACAAGATTTCACCCCGCTACGGCGGGGTGTGTGTGTGTGTGTGTGTGTGACAACCCTGTGTCCAAGGGCCTTCCCATCACGCTCCTGTTACCGAACTCCTTTCTGCATTTGATATTTGAATACAGCAGGGGGCGGGAGCATGGACTGCTGGACTCCCGCTAACAAAGACGCCAGCTTTCCATGGTGATGTGTTCCGGGACGCCGGAACATGTACCTGCAGTTTGTGACATCGTATAACATCCTTGCTGTACATTGGTTCTCCTGGATGTAACAATTTCCTTCTGTTGCGCTTCATTGGACATGGCGTGGGGCTAAGCCGAGGACCCCGTTCAGAACGCCTTCGGAGTCTTTGCAGGTAGTCAGGCCGTGTTGTGGTTTAGGCAGGTGGCAGGTTCAGGCAGGGTTACTTCTTGCCGTACTCCTTCGACATTCTTGACCATGTGCTGACATGTCAAAAGTCTCTGATGTGTGGTCACTTGAGACCTGGGCATCAGTTGGTTCGTCGCATAAAGAAACCTCACTTGACATTCCGTGTGTGTGTGTGTGTGTCTCTGTGCGTGTGTGTGTCTCTGTGTGTGTGTGTGTGTCTCTGTGTGTGTGTGTGTCTCCGTGCGTGTGTGTGTCTCTGTGTGTGTGTGTGTGTCTGTGTGTGTCTGTGTGTCTCCGTGCGTGTGTGTCTCTGTGTGTGTGTGTGTCTCTGTGTGTCTCTGTGTGTCTCTGTGTCTGTGTGTCTCTGTGTGTCTCTGTGTGTCTCTGTGTGTCTCTGTGTGTGTGTGTGTGTGTCTGTGTGTGTGTGTCTGTGTGTCTCTGTGTGTGTGTGTGTGTGTGTCTGTGTGTCTC